TATGAAATAATTACAAAAAAGTTCTGCGTTGTTATATTTCTGCCTGTCGGAGAATACATGTGTGTATTAATATAATAATTACATGATCCGATATGTATGAATGGGCAGAAAGCAAAAACTATACCCCAAATCACTTAGAAGTCATGCCTAAGCGATAGAAATCATCGCGTTTGATATCGCTTTCTCACCCCGAAAGGATCATCCTTCGGGAAGAGATGAACCACGCCCGCGATATTTTTTTAGTAATCGTAGAAGTCACTTCCTCGATAGTTATTGGAAGTGAAAAAAAAAAAAAAAATGTTCCAGACTTAAGCATTTTTTTTTATGGTTATTGTTACTTTTTCCAATGTTCAGAGAGCAAAGCTGGCATGCTTACCACTGCGCCACAGTGTCTTATATTCCTCAGATAGAATTAAGTCTTATTTATGTTCAATTCGTGAATAATTGCAAACTATCACTGTTTTATCCGATGGCAGTCACTAGATAGTGTCTGCACACGAGACACCTTCTTTTAACTTTCTTGCGCCACTAAGTAGTGACTACGTGACGATAGAAAGTAGACAACAGTAGTTTTGTTATTGTAAATGTACCTATTACCGCATTTATTAGGAGTAGAAGCGTCGCAGAAGTGGCATCTTGAAATTGAAGTGAATTACTCACTTCCAAATGCTTGCAGGGTGTATACGTTTAAAAATGCGATTGGGTACATACTAAAGGCCTACAGAAGACGAATTTTATGAATTATGTTTTTTTTTTGACACACTGACTTTGTCTATTCAATCATGTGATATGTGTTTGATAGACAATGTCAACCAACAACATCCCCCATTTTGATTCATGTGTGCCATTGTCTAAGGTTCGATCGTGGCATGGCTGACTCGAATAATTGCATGGTGTTCTCCATAAATGCAGGGTGTCGACAATGTCATCGTAACAAAGACGGTATACATATAAAAGTGAGTACGAAATCAATAATTAAAAAATATTCTTTATGACGTAGTTGAGGGCAGCGTTATTAAGAAAATTTATCAGTTTTTTCAATAAGGATTGACATTTTGGATTGTTTTGTCAATAACCGAAAGGTGAAAATTTTGTGTGGACCAATTAGAAGTACCTGAAATATATTATTATTCGCCAAGAAACACTTTATTACAAAAAATGTATTTTTTCACATATCGGAAAAACAGGTAGCGATTGCGCTTTGCCTTCATTACGTGTGTGTCTTTTTCGTTCGCAATTGTTTCATTATTGTTGTAATTTTTGTGGTAGAACATTTTTGTATGACACACTATTCAACATCCCCTTTTATTGGTCATTACATGTTATGACGATGGGTTTGAGTCTGACCGACATGATGAGACATCGAGCATTTGGTTGGATGTCACATACTGTTATGCGTTTGATCAAACAGGGCACAACATGACGAACGTTTTCTCTCCATGGCATAAATAGAGAAATATGTCACACTTGCAGCCCTTTAGTACATACATACAAATATTATACGTATGTATAGACTGGTAAGTGCAAAAGAATTCAATATCCTTTCGGCATTTTCGTTTGTCAAGTCATTGTCCTTATATATTTCTCATTTCACTTGCGGTTTGTTGATTTTGTCCAGATTGTGTTCTATTTACTTTTTTCATACCCATCGCTTTGGTTTTCCCATTTCTTTGTTTACACAACGTGACTTCCAGAGACAGTATGAATGTACGGATGCGCGCCATCCCCCGATTGTTCAAAACTAATTAAATCGTTGCTTTTGCCGTTTACGTTTGAAAATGTATGAACTCATTTCTAAGCAATGTCACAAATGTTCCTGTGTGAACTTCGAAAATGTATTATTACATTTTCAACCGATGTAAAGACTTAGTTAAATCTACATATAGTGGTTATGTGATAAATATATACATATGTAACGATTCGGAACACAGTCGTCTCTAATTAACTTTGTCATTCCGTTTGTAATTCCTGAAGATTCTTTTTTTATGTTAGACCCCATAAATTATATATATTCATGATCAACATAAAATTCTAAGTCGATTCAACGATGCCCCTCTATCCGTCTGTTGAAATCTCGGTATAATTTTCGCCACAATTTTTCACGGATTTGTCTAAAAAATTGTATTTGTAGTTCATGATGGGTTCTAGCTCCGTTGAACATTGAATATAGTGACGAGATCGTCAACGAATATCTCTATAAGCTTAATATGTGTATTGTGTAAGTCATTGGCAGGCAACATGAATCTATTGCTGTTAAGCATTAAAAAAAAAATCCAATTTCTATAAAAATAAAATCTGCTTTTAAGAGTTTCGGTTTAACACAAAAAACTTCACAGCAAAAATTTCAATCAAAACAATACACTAATCACTTAATTTAACATGGATGTGTCGTAGGCAGTTAATGATTTCAAAACTGGAATATGAATTGAATTTGTGTTATATTTCAACAGAATTTATTTTCTTTGTTTTGAAATGTTGTTAGCAAGTGCAGGGTTTGAGTCACTGTACATTTGCCGATAAAACGCGCGTTGTTTTATCTTACTGGTAATGTACGGAGTTTGCAGTTGTCTTTATTTTTGGCACACTAGTAATGCTGAGGGTGTGCAGTTTTTTATTACTAGTAATGCTAAAAGTGACACCTGTGTTTACCAAATGTTTTCTGGCTATTTGTATTTAATTATTTTTATTTGTTGACAATGCTGCGATATAAGATTCGACAATAAACTGACGTTTTCGTCGCAGTTGAGCCATGCAGCCGAGAAGGCTACCACTATCACGATGCAGCTAAGCAGATTGATGGCAATCGTCGGAGGGCTTCTACACTGTAAGAGGAGGTTACTAATGGAGGCATGTAACAGCATCCTACTGTACGGATGTGAAATCTGGGCCGGGAGCATGCTCAATAAGCAGAGAGCACAGAAACTGCTGAAAGTACAGAGAACAGATGCATTGAGAGTGTCATCTGCATACCGCACAGTCTAGCGGGTATGGTACCAATCGATTTGGTAGCAGAAAAGAGGCAGAAAATATTTGAGGTAAGGCGTCGCCAACGTGAAGTCTCAGAACTTGCTCAAATAAAAGTGGAGAGTTTTGATTTTGAGTATTTCCGTAAATATCTGTTAAAGCACGGAAATAGTGATTCCCCTTATTGTTTGTATGAAGAAGAAGAAATTTTAGACGACGCAGAACATACATTCTTCTCATGCGGTCGGTGGACAAAGCTACGCTCAGAAGTAGAACTGCAAGCAGGTGCGAAAATAATAGAAGTCGAAGAAAACTGGAATGCAATTTCCAAATTATGCGAGCATTTATTAAAAACAAAAAAGACGGACTGAGACAACTCTCTAAGATCTCGAAATGAATAGCGGGGCTTGGACGCAAGGTAGAAGAAGGCCTAAGAAGCCCGGAAGCCACCTCGAAGTAATACGAAAGTGGTGCCGAGGTGCCAGTAACTCCCAGAGGTCGGCAGATTGGTTTTTTATTTGGTACCAAGATCAAGCCCGACATACCACTATGACTGATGGCTCACGTGAATGCGTAAATGTGCATTTTTTCCAATCGCTCCGCAAAAAAAATTGTTATTATTAATGGGTTCTGAATTTTTCAAAAAAGAAAAAAAAAAAAAACTAGAAAATAGTACTATGATTAGTGTTTTAAAAAAAACATTGTCAATTAAGTAACCCCGAAAACCTGCACGGAGTGCTACTTGCTAGGTATTTTCCAATTCTAATCCAGGTTCACGTAAACAAATTGGGCTTAGTTCACTGTTATCTACCACGTTCTATTTTCTTTCTCTGAACGTGCACATGTACTTAGATATTATTTTGGAACTCTCTCTATCTATCCTTCGATGTTGCACGAATAAACATTCAGATTACATCTTTGGGCCATCGGCAACTTTCTGTCACTAAAAGAAGGAATACGTGGCATGGATGTTAATGGCCTTGTGTGTAGAGAGTCATGTAGCCTTACGGAATTATATTTTAATTTGAAAATATTTGAGAAAGCAGAACACATTAACTCTTATAATATTCTTACAGAGATAAAGCGTGGTGGTTATTTATTTTTTATAAAAGTTTTATTAATTAGAGAACAAACTTGAAAAATGGTATATAAACGAAGGAAATCAAATTTGAAGTAAAGAAAAAATATTTTCTACAAAAATAAGTATTCGTATTAAAAAAATTGAAATATTCGGAGTGTCACAACATTAACTGTGTCATGATATTTCATGATGATTTGGGAAAAATATGTTTAATACGTTTGGCCAATAAATACTGGCAAACGCCAATATTAAATGGACCACGATACAAGCGGAAACTATTACGCTTTTGTATAGATATAAGGTCTACTGATGATTTTGTTGGATCGGTATATAACATGAGAAGAGGAACATCTCGTCACCAAGACATTATGTTGGCTATGAAACACTCGGCAAAAAATCAAAATGCAAATCTAACACAAATTTGACAATAGCATCGAAAAAGCTTTGCCTACTACAATTCTGTTGCCCATCAATGAGTAACACCAATAAGCAGCAACACATTTTCATTGACACTTCGATGCACTGCAAAGTTGCAAATATTTTCCACATCAATTGTCTCCATATCAGTTTTTGGCTTCCCATTGGGTTGTGAATGTATACGTAAATAAACTTCAGATTTTCATCCGTCTCTTCGGTCCGAAAATACTTTTGGGTCAGAAGTCAGACCGAACAAGCATCTGAAATTAGAAGTTAGATCCGATCTTTTGGATTGCCTTAAATTTCGACCAAATATTTTTATTTCAGGTTCTAAAAATTGGTATAAAAATTTTTTAAAAATATGAAATTTTATTCTTTATACATTTCTAAAGAATTTGCTATATCTTGCCACTCCACAACTACAGATTAGAGATTACCTGACATGGTAGCTCCAGTTTTAAAATAATTTTTTAATGCTCTCATTTCATACTTACCTACTATAAATGTATTCCAATTTGTGCAAATAAAATACAATGAATTATATTTTCGGACGTTAAAATGTTAAATTAATTTTATTTATTTTTATTACTTTCTCATATGTTTGTTGATTTGTTCTTTGTTCTTTACAAGGAGGGATACATTTAACTTAAATATAATTGTTTATACCTAATTTAATATAAATTATACATACTTATAATAATTAACACAAATGTAGACGACAAGGCGTCAACAACATTAGAAGACAATTGGTATGTAAGCTGACGGACTTACAAACAATATTGTAGTGCTACAGACATCTTAGGACAGACGAAGGAAGAAACTACACCTGAGAAGGTAATGGAAATTGAAATGAAAATGTCTCAAATGGCCATAACGCATGCATGTTACTTAAATGCATAGAGGAAGGCTTTGTGAACCCATTTTGGAAAGTTATTATTTTTATATTTACAGTTTCATAGGAATGAGACTTGTTGCATATGGTTCAGATTGGCATGACGACTTCATTGTATCATTGGCAACTGTATTGACATTGTATCAAACTATAAAAATTGAATGCGTGTAAATGTTGATAGGATATTGGGACGGGACTTGGGAAGTTATGTACTATCTACAAACTACAAAAATAAATTACTTTTGTTTTGTTTTTTGGATGATGTTGTCGGCGGCACGTAAGCTTGTTGCCGACTCCGGATTGATTTCCTAATTTCTAAATTGTATATTTACAGAGTAGTCGAAATAAGAACGCAACGATTTACACATAACGTGTAATTTGTGTGTGGAATTCCGATAAACAGACTTGTAGTTGGCTAAATGAGGGTCTTTCCGTAGGTAGGGAAGCCCAACAGTAGGCCATAATTGTGAATCTGCAAAGAGAAAGACAAATATTTTGAAATGATTACAACAATTAAATATTAATTATAAATCTGTAAAACGACATTTAAAACTTGTTTAGATATAATAAATTCCAATTCCATTACGTATACGTCAAAACTGAAATCTAGTGAGTTTTATTTGACGTGACAGTTGACATCTACTGGATTTATGCGTGTAGAACGTTTTGCATTGTCACTCATTCTACGGATTTATTTGTCGTAAAATCGTGTCGAAATAATCTCGGACAATTCTCTTTATCCGGAAAATGGGTGGTATGGCAAATTCAATTCAAGTTTCATCATTTTATGTAATGTTTTTAATTATTAGAATACTTACAATTCGTCAGGACAATTAAAAGGTTGCGCAAGTCTGTAACCATCCTTGAGATAATGCTCCATTTCATAGGGGTCAATTTCGGCATAAGGCATTTTTGCTAATGTACACATTTCCCACATTAGAACCCCGAAAGACCAAACATCGCTGCCCTCGTTAAAGTGTTTCTTTTGAATTGCTTCGAGGGACATCCATTTGATGGGTCGATTCTCACCATCACCAAGGCAATGATAATCACCAGGGAACAAGTCACGGCTCAAAGAGCTATCACAAAGTTTCACACGCAGCTGGTCATCAATACTGAAAAGAGAAATACAAGTTTTGTAAAAAAATGCGTTATATATGCGGAAGATGTTGGGACCGAGTAAAACTTTAAAATTATTGATAATTATTTAAGAGCTAAGAGAGAGAGAGAGAGAGAGAGAGAGAGAGAGTCGGCTTGTATTTTACCCAAGTCAATTTAGATACCTTTGATAATTATTAGAGCGTGGTCTAATTTTGTATACTTCTTTAAAATGGTCCCAAATTGAGAAATGTATGTCGGCCCACTAAGTAGCGCAATATGTAAGTATAATCAAATTTACCTGCATTCCACCCCTCCTTTTTATACCCTCCTGCGTAGTATGGAGGGTATATTAAGTTTGTCATTCCGTTTGCAACCCCTCGAAATATACATTTTAGACCAAAGTACATATATATTCCTGATCAGCAAAAAATTCTATGTCGATTTAGTTATGTCCGTCCGTCTGTGGAAATCACTCTAGCTTCCGAACGAAATGAAGTAGGTTGATAAAAATTTACTCAAATGTACTATTTCTGCAGGACATTTGGTATTGAAAATGGGTCATGTAGGTATTTGTTATTAAAACTTCGTAATGGATACTACAGCGTGTGACAGAAAATTGTCTGTGCAGGTTCACGTCTTCGTATAGCCCCCATATAACGGTACCTCCCTATATTCGGTACTTAGATGTTTTTAGCGACATAATTCCCCAGAATTGTTTTAAATATGGTATTTGAAGTTCGTAATGGATACTACAGTTTCGAATTGAATATTGTAATGGCTTATGACAAAAGTTGGCAATGCAGTTCCATTTCATCCAAAATTCGTTGCCAAATTCGTTCCAAATGGTGGAGGGTATTCAAAGTTCGTCCGGGCCGAACTTAGAGCTTTTTTACTTGCTTTTCTTCTAATTATTGTATAATGTAATACCATCTGTATTAGTAAGGAAAGCTCAAAAGTTAGGCGGGGTCGACTATATGATACCCTATACCACTATGCATAAAATAAGGGTTTAAATTGCAATTTCTGAGTTCTATAACATTTCTGGTACAAAATATCATTATAATAGAGTGCATATTCCGAAAGTTGGAGATTTAAAAACCAAATCGGATGAAGCATATATATATGAGCAAATTTTAAATTCTTCCTTCTATGCTAAACTCGGTTGAATTTTGAAAATTCACTCCATTTGGGCTAATATTAGCTATTTGGTGCACAATAAACCTGAAATCGAATAATGATATATATCTTCATAAAATCGAAAACAGCTATTTCTTGGCGGCATCTGATATCTGGTACCAAATATTATTCTTGTATCGTGCACGAAATTTGAAGTACTTATTTCTATACTAAATTCGGTCTCAAGTGCCAAAATTCACACCATTTGGACTGATATTAGCCATTTGGTGCACAAGGAACCTCGGATGAAGATATATATGGAAGCTATATCCAAATCGGAACCGATCTTGATAAAATTTGATTCATGAATTTCTAGGCTGTATCTGATATCCGGTGCAAAATATCAGTCTCGTGGAGTGCATATTACGAATGTGAGGGACTTAAACACCAAATCGGATGAAACATATATATGGGAGCTATAGCTATATCCGAACCGATTTTCACCAAATTTGAAGCACATGCTTGTAGACTGAACTCGGTCAGATGTAGCAAAATTCGCACCATTTAGACCGATATTGGTCATTTGGTGCAGAAGAAACCTAAAATCGGATGAAGATATATATGGGAGCTATAGTTATATCTCAACCGATTTTCACCAAATTTGAAGCACATGCTTGTAGGCTGAATTCGATCGGATGTAGCAAAATTTACACCATTTGGAATGATATTGGCCATTTGGTGCACAAGAAAACTAAAATCGGATGAAGATATATGTGGGAGCTATATCTAAATTTGGATCGATTTTCACCAATTTCAATAGGGGTCGTCCTTGAGCCAAACAAATGTTATTTAGAAAATTTCATCTCAATCGGATAATTAATGCGACCTGCATTTTGTTTACAAAAATACATGGACAGACGGACGGACGGACACTATGTGGTGTAGGGTATAAAAATCAATTGTTGTTCGTTGGTAATGGAATCAGTTGAGAACGGCTGGACCAATTTGCATTATTTTTTTGTACAAACGTTTGTCATACCCCGAGTTAGGTTTTTAAAGAAAAAAATATTGAACACGCCTACTTTTACGTCCACTATTTCGATTTATCTAAAATCCTTATATTTGCCAAACAATGAAGATATCGGTTTGGAAATTGTCGCAGGAGATACTGTTGACTTTCCCTCTAACCCTAAGAATTTATTTGGGGCTGAGAAACTGACCACGCCTACTTTTAAACTGTATATAAATATAAACCGATTGTTGTTCGTTGGTAATTGAATCAGTTGAAACGGCTGGAACGATTTGGATAATTTTTTTTATATTCGTCCTACCCCGAGCTAGGTTTTTATGCAAAAAAAGTAACCACGCCCAATTTTACGCCCATTTGATTTGCCTAAAATTCTTATATGCGGATTATACACAATAGTGGAGCGAATTGAAAATTTAGTAAGGAAAGGATTCATATTTTCTTTCGAAACCTTAAAATTAACTTTAAATAACAGGTTACGTTATACGGGGACTATAGGCTATCGTCAGTAATTACACTGCGCCGCAGACAATCATGGGGTTGGGAAATTTTGTGGTTGGTAGATAAAACTCCCAATAGGGGATTTCCGGGTCAAACTTTTTTGGGGTCCATTTTATGGAGCTTAACCATGCATAAAGGGACTCAAATATTTTGCAAAAGTCCTAGTCCTATGGGTTACATGAAGAATCATTTGTACAAAATATGTATCATGTCGGTGTACATTGTGATATAGCCCCCACAAATGATATAGTACCTTTCAAATTCCTCAAATATTGGTAATTTGAGATTTTATATTGTATAGGACCATGCTTTGGTATAACCCTCATATATGAAGGTATCCGTTGATTTCAGCTATTTCCAGGGTTGAAAAATGTGACCAAATTTAGCATCCCTGCCCTTATTTGGCATCTTAGCTTCTAAGGGGATAGAAGACCTCTTCGCACAAATTTCTCAATGTCAATGTTTTGGAGTAACGCCCATATAAAAGTACCTCATGATTTTATCTATTTCGAGGGTTTTGATTATATTTTCGAATCGATTTGGCTTAAAATTTGTATTTAGGCTACTCTGGGGGTATAGAAACATCTTACATGGGCCTATTATAAACAGTTGATGTATACTTTTTATTATATGCGCTATATTATTTAGGTTTTTCACTCTCAAATTGAATTCTCTGCCTGAAAAATAGGATCAGATTTTTTGAAACACTATAAATCGCCCGGTACATGAACCTGTATTGACATAATTTCGATTCGTATTTATTTATATTAAGTCCAGTAATAACTTATATTAAAAATTGTGCCACTTATGTGAGCCAGATCTGTGAATTACTATACTTTAAAAACTATGCATTAAAGACTAAAACTACGTACCGGCAACGCGGACTGGGCTAGCTAGTCTATTAAATAAATAAGAAATAAAATATATAAATATAGAAGACCGTTTATTCCTAAATGAGAATCGATCAGAGTTCATGATGTTTACTGAACATACACCATCGCAAAACCATAGATTTTAAATGAATGCGATTTGAAATGTTTGACTTAAAATATTACTGTGATTAAATTTGCCAAAACAGATAAATGCAAGTAATCCTCCTATCAGAAAATGCTATAAATTTTGCAATTGTTCCCTATTGGTCTTAATTACAGCCACAAACAAAAAAACAGCTTGACAGAAATTCCGATGTTTTTTGGCTGTAATTAAGACATTAGGGACCAATCGTAAAATTTAAAGCATTTTCTGATAGGAGTATTACTTTTGCGCCACCTTGTAGATAGACTAAATGAGCTGCCCAAATATAATTTGTGTTTTTTAATCTAATTACTTACACACAATTTCTAGCCGCTATATCTTTGTGTATTACACCGTGATTATGCAGATGTTCCATGGCCATTGCCAACTGCGATGACATAAGTACTGTCTGAATTGTCGTCACACTGCGAGCATAAGCGGGTTCTTGGAGAAATAATTTCAAGTTGCGTGAATTACTGGCAGCGGCATACAACACAAACGGTGTGGTGTAATCCTCAATTGAAACTCCCAGGATGGACAGGACATTCGGGTGCGAAGCTTCGTACAACATCATACCCTCTTGCAGGAGCAATGTCACTTGCATCTGATTAGCATGCTGTGCAACTGTCTTCACCAAAACTTCCTGGCAGTCATTATAGGTACCGCGATAGATGCGACCATAGGTGCCCTCCTGCAGCAAACGCGAAAGACGAACACGGCATTTTTGAACGTTCAGCTCGTGGAGGCGACGACTAAATTCCTCCGGTTCGTGTTCATACTCACGGAAGGGGCGAGTCAATGTGGCGTATGTGGGGGTTATGGTGGATGGACAAGCATAAATAGAATTGTGGGCGGTCGACGATATGGTGGGTAAACGCTGAAAGCTGGCTGTTTTTATAAGATGAACGCCGTGATGGTTTGGCCGCTTCGTTGGCCCCTTGGCACAATAAGCAATTAAGATTAAGGTTGTCACAAGGATTAGCGCCAAAACAACACCAATTATTAAAGTTATTAAACCACCAGTTGGCGGTGCTATTGTCTCCTTGAGCATGGGATCAAATTCATGCAGTATTCCACCACCACCTCCGAATGAGATACCACCGCCATTGACACTGTTGTCACTCAAATGGTGATTGTTGATGCCATCCTCTGAGGAGTGTTCCTCCGGGCGTGAGTTGTCAACCACAGACGATGTGTCATGCATAAAGCCATCACCCACACCCGAAGACAGGCCAGGGCCTGGCACCCCACCACCGTTATGCTCGACGCTCTGGTGTGGTTCGTTGTGGCTGCCGTCCTCCTGCAGACCGGCTAGACAAATTTTCTTACGTCTAAATACTAAATCCGTTACGTTGTTCGTCCGATGATCCAATATTATTTCAACTGAAATGGTCACTTCAACTTCGGCATCTCGTAAGCCGGAGCACTTCATGCCAATGGCGAATGTCTGCGGTTCCAGGGGTATTTCACCAATACGTGAAATGTTCACCGTTGGCCGCGGCAACACAGACGGATCCGAAGTGATTATGTTGAGGCTGTAGGCCAGAGGATTATGTGCCAGGCTCTGCCATGTAAACGATATTTCATTAATGTTTGCCGGCACCGGTACGGCAAAGTTTAGAGCGTAATCGTTGACTTGGCCTTCGCGTACATAGTATAATTCAGCAGAAACACCTGCAAAATAAACGAAAGAAAGATAACATTGTTGTAGTGTTATTCGAATTAATAAAAGCCGTTGGTTAAACCTAGACTGCCAGCAGTCAGACAGATAGACACACTGGCGGTTGGTGTTTTGGTTCGTTGGTTGGCTGGTCGGTCTGTACTTCATGGCATGTGCAAAGGAAACGTTCAACAAAAAAAAAAAACAGTGCGAGATGGATCCAAGCATTTACCATGGATTTGTGTTAAAAGTGAAATTAAATTATTAAAACAAAACTGAATAAATAAACCCCTTTAACATAAACAGGAAATTTACAAATCAAAATTGAAATATATTTAAGTAGCCAAATAAAAAAGTTAAATATATATTCACATGTCACGTAATTCGTTTTTCGACCAATTATTATTAAATATCTACTTAATTCCCCACACAAAATTTGCTAGGCAAACAGACATTTTTGTTCTCTGTTCCATTTAAATCGTTCTCAGAACTACGTTCCTAATCAATGAGAACATTTATCGAAAAAATAAATTATGAAAATATAAATAATTTATGAAAATGGAAATAGAAAAATTTTATGAAAATTTCAAACATTTCAGGATGAATGGAAATTTATGAATGGAACGTCGTATGTACATTAAAACGAAAGTAAATGTTATTTTCTTCTTGATCCGAGGTAGGCTTTCTGTCCAAGAGTTAGAAGAAAGCTGGAAACAAAAGAAGCACTATTTTTAAAGTTTTTGTGACGAAAAAACAAAATTTAAAAAAAAAACAAAAAGCTATTTCAAAAATAAACATTTACACAAAATGTTCAAAACATGAATGAAAGTTGTAAAAAGAATGATAAAATAAATCTTTGGAGGAAAAACAATAATCTCGTGTATTCATATTAATGCGAATTTCATATAGGCCCAAAGTCGGCGGGCCCACCTTATAATTCAGGGCCAATCTCGACATGCGAACTAATATGTCAAATCTATTTTTAAAATAGAGAAATTGAAAGAAATATACTGTTTGTAATATACCATTATTTATAGAGCCTGTGTCTATGGTCAGGTTTGAAGCAGGGTAAACTATGACGCAAGACTTACGCAATTCTGACGAACATCAATTGTCATATTGTGTATTGGGGAAGGGACCAATTCAAGTTTGGCTCATAATAAGTTTGGCTTATGATAAGGACGAAATGAAATTGAAACTATTTAGACAAGACAGAAGCCACACCTTTCTTTTGAACTCCTTTGTTAAGCAGATTTAACAATTCATGCAAATGACATGAACGGGTTCTTATAGCAGCAAGACTGTGGCACGTAAGTTTTCACTCAAAACTTGATATCACTTGAGTAGCATATCTGTGTTACCGCTGAAGTAAGTGCACTTAAGTGTATTCAATTTCAGTTGGATATTCAATTTTTCGACCTAATTTGAGCGCGAAAGTTGAAAATTTTCAAATTTTAATTCTAAACATGAAAGGAAAATATTTTCATTTAAATAATTTTGAACGAAAGTGATTCCGCAAGATTTTGAGCATTGGTCTGATACTAAATAAGAACCTTGCGTCTTTACTTGAGAAATACCAAATTGTTTTTATTATATTGTATAGGCTATAATTTTATAGGAAGATAATGACTAAACGTGTCTCATCGAAGTAACGGCTTCAGACCCTAGGTTTCTTTGGACGAAATCCGTTTCAGAAATCCCTGTCGATCAGTGATGTCCATCCATTCGGACATGGGGTGAGGGTATACATCTGTCGACAAATCGGCGTGTTTTTTAATACGTGATGTACCCTTTTGTTTGAAGAACGTTGGTGAATTATTACCAAAAGAAAACAAATGACTACGTTGGAAAGCTTTCGCCTTTTATACATTTTTCAGATCGAAGGCCACGAAACAATCTCTCGATTTATCATCGTGTCATAATTTGTCAAAAATACATCAAAAAAAAATAAAAAAATTGGTTTTTAAACTTTTGGTTATCAAATTACGTTTATTTTATACAGATTATTGCCACAACACCATGGAAACGACAATACCCAATAATTCCCCAAATAGCATTTAATTCCACGTTCTACCTTAACTCATTTACCATTTTTTCAAAAGGCCAATGAATAGAATCCACAAACAGTAAACTTTTCCAATTTATAAAAGTAAACATTTGTGGAAAACAATGACAAAAAGTCGAAAGCTCCAAGTGAAACAAAGAAGAAAAGAAATGACAATGTGGCCATTACTAACCCGCTACTGACTAGTAACACCGAGCTCTCCTTCAGATACAATAACATCTCAAGTAATAAATTCAAAAAATACAAACATTTGTCCATCACTCTAGCGTGGAAGGACCAACACTTACCACTAGGTGGGCAATAATCAAATTTATCGGACCACTTGTCAAAATACTTTTTGTTTCAGGAATACCATACACGATGGAGAATAAAAGAAAACAACGGGCACGGTAGACGAATCACATGCTTGGTGTTTTTGTGAGCGTAAATCTCGCCTTACTGATTCCCTGTGGAAACATTTCTCCCAACCACTACCCTTGGGGCATCAGAGTATTCCTAGGCCATCGACTAGACTAACATGGCAAAATTTGATGAATGACTATCCAGCGTTTGGTTAAACTTTTCGCCCCTGCCATTGCCTGGCAGATAGTCAAAAGATGAGAAAGAAATAAAAAAGTTTTGTTTTTTTTTTTGGTTCTGGTTTGTTTGTTTACAGTTCTGATATAATTGAATTGAAGCAAATTCCCCGACTGAACATACACAAAAGTTTGGAATGGTAATGATCAACTTTAAAGCCAGACGATTAATGAATGAATGAATGCCAGAGATCAAACTCACACGCAGGATGGAGACAATTGTCAAACGACAATTAATGGAGGAAAGTCATTAAAAAAAGTCGACACATTTGTATGAAAGTCCCAGTTCAAAATACTTTTGAAGAATCAAAACTTTTTGAATTCATTATTTTGTTTTAGCAAGGAAGGAATGGGTGAAGACATTTCATGTAGATTTTTATTACCAAATGTACCTCTAAGAAAAAAATTGTTGGCATCTTGAAAAGTCATTGGTGCTGGTAAAAACTAAATTTGTAAATTTCTCATAGAAATATACATTTTTTTGAAACGCCAAAGCATGGTCTATATCAGGTCGGTCAGTAAGCCCATCTGACAACTAAGTTTGCTGTCACAAGACATTATGCGATTTAAAATTCAAAGAGATTCAAATCGCAATAGTGCGAAAACTACAAAGTTTAATGTCAAATTGTTTTCAACAGTAGTCTTCTTGGCCGACCTTATGTAGGCCTCTCGCTAAAGTTGAGTTTTTTACCAGATATTTTCATAAAAAATGAAAACTTCTTGCTGACCTAAGTCCGATATATTAATTTGTATTTGTATGGGATATGTGCATATTTTTTGGGAAATTTAAAGAAAATTGAACAATTACTTTCACTTTCGTGTATTTGCATTTTACATCTATGGTTGATAGAATTATAGAGATACACGATATTTGAAGATAATCGCAGACTTTTTTCCACTTTTAATTGTTATAAATATTCAAAAATTTGACCCCTTGTGAGGGTAGTACTGGAAGGAGTGGGCATATGAATTCAATATTTTCACCAGATCTCTGGTTGGTTAAAATATTAAGATATACGAAGTTTGAAAAAATTTGACATTTGATACTAGACAAAAATAGAAGATAATGAAAAGTTGTAAAAAAAGAATAGCACCCTAAAATTGAAGTTACGGTTAGATTTGAATGTAGCTCACATATTTCGTCAATGGTTACACTTAGCTCATTTCTGATTTGAAAGATAAATAGTTTTATCCTCCCCTGAACAAGTATGGATGTATAAACCCTTGAACAACGCTGGGAAATATTATGTGCGAAAATTGCACACGGATTTTGAAAGAATAGAGGTGCCGTATGTTAATATGCAAAATTATCGCATTTGCACTCATACATTAAAAGCCGATGGCCCCAAAACGAGTCACCTTTTGGTCATGGGCATAATTGGGTCATTTTTCTTCGAAACTGACAAAGGAGTAGCCGTTACGTTATCGAGCAATACGGAAAGAATTTTGTTCACAAAATTTGAATTAAACAATTATGTCCCATCTCATTCAAATTCATAACAGCTTTCCGGATTGATAGTAATATGTTATTTCTGTGACAAAAAAAATCGTAGTCCCTATTTGTAGGTTTCACGGATTTAGCAATAACTTTCTGATCTCTTTCAAATTTAGAGCGTACGCGGATTTGTATATAATATACTAATATTTCATATTACTTTATCCCAACCCTCCCAAAATTGTTTCTTGTTACCTACTCCTTTCTTTTAATACCTTCAAAATGGAATATATTAGACGATGAACCTGTGACTTTGGAGACTAACTAACTACCTAGCTTTTCCCTCAGCTCTATTTTGTTGGCTATTACAACCACACCGATAAATTTCTTTATTTATTTGTTTTTTTTTTTTTTGTCTTCCTCACATGTAAGGAATAGACTCTAATAGATTTATGAAGACAAAGTTTATTTTTCCGATTAAAAATGCATCACTTTAAACAACAAACAGAATCCCTAAAACGAATGAAAAATAGACAAACAAAATCGAAATTGACAGATTCATGAATAGATAGGCATTGAGGCTAAAACCAACACTTAATTTATTCTACCACACATATTCTGGTGTTTCTGTCGGCAATCGTATGGTTGGGCGGACAGTCTGCCGGATAGACACATAAATGATAGAAAGATCGACACAAAAATTGCGATATTGATGGTGTTGTTCATGACGATGCCGACAACGATTATTATGTTGAAGCTGATGGCGATGCTTGCTATAGGGTTTCCCTCATTCTTTTTTTTTATCAAATGGTGCCAAAGAAATTCACACTTCAATGGTCATCAACAGAGCAAAAACCAAGCTACTAAGCATAGTTTTCCCAGTACTTGGGCAAGAAAACCTAACGGGACGATGGGTGGAGGTGAGTAAAAATGACAGAA